GTAGAGTGGTCATGTGAAAATATGTGATCTGGGATATGTCACTTTGTGGAAAACCCTCCAGATATCCCTCGTTTTACCCAAAAATCGAAAATCCTTACAACCATCAGCAGGCCTTCCGCGATCTCCTCTTCACACTCCCCTCCATCCCCTCCTCTGGTCTGTCTGATCTCATCCTTGCTACCTCACACCTATTCACACCAGCCACACCAGCCTCCTTTCTGCTCCGTGAACATCCAAGCCTTGGCTCCTTTGCACGTGCTCTTCCCCCAGGTAAATGCTCTACCACCTCATGCAGGTCTTGATTAAATGTCCGTTTATCAGTGAGGCCCTCCAGGAGCACTGAATTTAAAACCTCACACCACTGACAGTGTCTCCAGTTCTTCTTTCAACGGGCTTTATTTTTCTCCATAACATGTTCTTCATCTAGCATTGCATCAGGAGAACAAACTCTGAAACTGGAATGTCTAGTACTGTAAGATAAAAGACCTTGACTTTTCTGTGCCTCATTTTCTTTGTCTAAAGTGGCGTAGTTTCTACCTTCTTCCTGTTCTGTGTTATATATCTATTTTTTTACCCATTAATTACTTTTATCTTTCTTACTCCCCCATTGGAATATAAATTCCATGAGTCCAGAGTTGGTTTTTTTATGTTCTTTCTTGTTTCTAGCACAGTGCTTTTGGCACATAGTATGTGCTCAATAAAATATTTGTTGATCAAATCTGTTGTTATCTTTGAAAAGAGTAATGGGGAGAAGAGTCAAGGAAGACATGAGATTTTATGTGTGCTAGTTAAAACTTTTACAGTATTTGTGTATCACTTGTGCCCTCAAAAATTCACAGGCTTACATGAAAAGTAGACATGTAGACAAATTACACACCTTGTAAGATACAGAGAAACAAGCAGGTGACTGACTGTTTAGGGGGAAGGCAGGACAGGCAAGGACAGCTTCCTAGGAGAGATCATGTGAGAGGTGTGTTTTAAAGAGGCATAGTTCCACTAGACAAAGCATGAGGCAGAAGGGATATTGTGTGTAAGAGTAAAGATACACGAAAACCTAATAGTGTCTCTGAAAACTGGGAGGAAAGGCAAGAGGAGCTCTCATTGTTTTAAGATATTAAAAATTCCATCCTATTAGTCTCCCTCACCAACTCCCATGCTCAAATACCTCCAGCCAAGTGTGTGGCTTAATTAGAAGCTTACTTCTGCTTAAAGCTAAGATCTTAGCCAGGCGCAGTGGTGCACACCTGTCATCCCAGCAGCTCGGGAGGCTGAGGCAGGAGGATTGTGAGTTCAGAACCAGCCTCAGCAAAAGTGAGGTGCTAAGCAACTCAGTGAGACCCTGTCTCTAAAAAGAGCTGTGGATGTGGCTTAGTGGTCAAGTGCCCCCAAGCCTGGTACCAAAAAAAAAAACAAAACTAAACTAATATCTTGGGGTTTTCTCATTTTTTAAAAAATATTTTTTAGTTGTCAATGGACCTGTATTTCATCTATTTATATGTGGTGCTGAGAATCAAACCCAGGGCCTCACACATGCTAGGCACTCTCTACCACTGAGCCACCACCCCAGCCCCGGTTTTCTCATTTAAAAAAAAAAAGAAGAAAAAAATATATATATTTATATGTAGACAGACAGAATACCTTTATTTTGTTTATTTTTATGTGGTGCTGGCATCGAACCCAGGGCCTCACCCATGCTCAGTAGGCGCTCTGCCACTGAGCCCCAGCCCTGCCAGGTTTCCTCATGTTTTTGAAAGTCATTTTCTATTTTCCTGTTCCCTACAAGTTCTTTTTTTTTTTTTTTTTCCATCATACCATTCTTCAGATTTTAGGTTCCCTTGTTGTCTTGGTTACAAGAAACTAATATGTAATTTTTTATTTGAAATTTATTTTTCAATGATACCTAAAAACCAAAATACATATTTATGAGGTATCATATGACATTTCGATACATATATTTTCCAGTGATTAAATCAGGATAAACATACCTGTCTTCTCAAATATTTCTCATTTCTTTATGGTAGAAACATTTAAAATCCTTTCTTCTGGCTTTTTAAAATACAAAGTGCATTACTGTCACCTATAGTCACCTCTTGACAGTAGCACCCCGGGACTTCTTCGTCCTATCTGCCTGTAGCTCAGTTCACACTGGCCCACCTTCCCCATGGCTCCCGCCCCGGCACTTCTGATTTCTGTCTGTAGGTTACAGTGGGCAAGGAGGAGCACATACTTTAAATGTACACCATACACATATGTCATTTTGTGATGTTATGTAGCTAGTTTAGGGATATAGTGATGAGCTTAATTACATTTGTTGTTAAAATTTTTAATTCTGTAAGTGTTGGTCCCTAGATCTTTACCAGAGACTTAGACAGTGAAGACCCTTGTTTATTGATGTGTGACTCAGGACTTTTTAAAATCTGGGTGGAGGATTCTGTTTTTCCCACCCACCTTCCTCTATCTATAGAGTGGGGAACGCACCCTTGAACGCGGTACAAACCAAGAAGAGCAGCAGTGTCAACTCACCGATGACTTAGTGAGTCTCTGGTGTTACCCCTGTTGACACCATGTCTCGTGGTGAGCTGTGATTGGGACCCGTCTCTGACTGAGAGGCCCTGAAGATAAGAATCGTAACAGGTGTTCATTCATACTCCTAGTTCAGTGCCTGGTTCACAGTGGACACTCAGTAAACATTCATTAAATTGAATTAAACTGAATTGAATTGGATTATAGCACCACAGGAGATGGGGATTTTTGAGTTTGCATTTTAAGTGAGATTGATTTAAAACAAATCTAGAAAGAAAAATTATTCTTTTTGTTTTGTTTTTAAACATAGACTAAATTTAGGATACAGCTAGCTACCAGTATGTTCACTGCCTATAATCTTTTAAGCATTCTGTGCAATGACTCACTGAAGTCCCCAAATAGATTTTTTTTTTTTAAGTCACAATGGCCATAAGAAGCAAAATAAGGTTTGGAAAATATAGTGTTTCCTTTTTGCAGTCAGCAGTGTAGGGTCTTGTTGATATACAGAGGAGGATCTTTCAAATATAATTTTAGCAAAGTTATTTTTTCCTTTGTGTTGAAATGAAACACAGATCACCTGATAAGTTCCTATAGGGCTTCTCACTTGTTTCATTCTTACTAGGAGTCACTCATCAAAGACCTGTGATGTTCACTTTCAGAAAAGCAGCACCACCTCGTTTCCTAACACTTGTCTTCTGACCTCCAAGCGTTCCAGTCCAGCTGGCCAACAGACCAGGCCACCCAGAGAGGCCTGTGTTTCAGGAGAGTAAATAAACTCAACATACTCCTTTCCCTCTACTTAACTATTTTTTTTTTCTTTTGCAAAGGAGTTTGGAATTTAAATCCTTCAAACCCAGAATCTTCCAGGTCCGAAACTATGAAACAATAATAATAAAGTACCTGGTCATTCTTTCAACCCTTTGTCTTCTGTAGATCTGTCTCCTTCTGAGAAAGTCCTGAGCATACTTATAAATACCATCCAAATAACCCCTGTGTTATAGAAAAGGTTCTCTTGCCAATGGGTTGCTAGTTTAATTAATTCATTTCTTCAGCATATCTTTACTGGGTACCTTTGCTAAGCCCTGGAGAAACAAGCTGAGTAAAAGGTATTCCCACCCTGAGGAGTTCATGATCTATTTTGGCAACAAGAATATAGACGGTGCCATGTTAATAATACAGTACTAAAATAGCCCTGGGACTAAGGGATAATAGTGGTACAAGTGACAGTTCAGCATGGGGGGTTTGTGAAGGCTTTGCAGGAAAAGTGATTTTTGATTCTTAGCCTTAAAAAGGATTTCGGCAGAGAGAGAAGGGGCAAACTTACATCTCAGACACAGAGCACAGTAAGAGCAAAAGTATGGAGGTATGAATGTTTGTGACACGTTTAGGGAAGAGTGAGTGCTGTTGGGCGTGGATGGCAGGGACTACCCTGCGGGACACTGACCTAGACAAGTGAGGGGCAGCCTTAAAACTCAGATCATGCTGAAGGGCACGTCTCCAGTCCATGGGTTTGAATCCCAGCTAAGCCCCTCACTAGCTGTTGTGACACTGGCAAGTCACTTTACCTCTCTATAACTTTTTTCATTTTTTCAAATAAAGATAATAGGAGCAGCTATTTCATAGGGCTTCTTGTATATATATATTCACACATACATGTATAAAACAGTTCTCTGAACAAAATAAATACAATGTATTATCAGGCCACAGTAAATGTAAATACTAGTTATTATCAGGCTACAGTATGAAGGGCTTGAAACTTTATATACATTTTTCTGTAAGTAAAAGGTTTTAAAGAAGAGGTGAGAGTGTGCAATATGATATAATCTGTATTTTAGAAAAGTTACTCTGGTGTGTCTTTGGAGAGTAGATAAAATAAGGAAGAAACTCAGGCACAATAAAAGTTCTGAGACAATTTCAAGAGTATAGGTAGAAGATGCTGATGTAACATGGTCCTGAGTTAATATAGGAGCCTTGCCCTTTAAAATTCTGGGTTCCTATCTAGAAATTTCAAACTTAATGTACTAGCAACTGAACTTTCAAACTTGAGTACTAGCAACTGAACCCAGGGATGCTTTACCACTGAGCCACATCCCCAGTCCTTTTTATTCATTTTGAGACAGGGTCTCATCAAGTTGCCAAGGCTGGCCTTGAACTTAGAATCCTCCTGCCTCAGTTTCCTGAGTCACTGGGATCACAGGCATGTGCCACCTCACTCAGCATAATATTAATCTTAACAGACGTTACAAATTTAATCTAGAAAACACAGTGAGGACCCTGGGGAAGAACACAAAGGGACTTTCCTTCTGGTTTGGATGTGTTAAGGCTCAACTGATAACTTGTATTTTACACCAACTATCAGACCACTGCTTTTGCATCCTATTCATATCTGTCTATGTAGTTCAGTGTCATGAGCAAGGTATTCTATTTTTGATGATACTTTTGCTTTTCCTTTAAGTAACCTCAAGTCTTCTTGTCAGCTTCCTAGAGGAAATTCTGGCTTCTGGACTGCACAGCCGGAGCAAGGAGAGCTCTCAAGTCCTTTCCAGGCCAGCAAGCAGGAGATGAGATGATGATGGAGAACGTGGAGAACGGCACAGCTTCCCCCTGGCCCCCCACAGCCTCCCACTGACCCGAGGGCTGGGAGAGGGTCTTGTGCTCTTGTTAGAATTCATCTCCTGGTACCTGTGGTTCCTGAACTGCTAGCACAGACACCAAGACTCCCAGAGATGCGCTCGCTGAGAATAAGTCCGAACCCTTCCCAACCTACTTTTCTTGTGGTTTCTTTATCGAGTAAATGTATTCCTTGTGTATTTGATAGTACAATCACTTCAGTTTATGATGGATTTTGTTGGGATCTTACTTGGGAAAAGAGTTATCAGAGCCCAGGGGGTTTAAAAGTAATCATGTATGTACATGCCACCTTCCTCGATTTCCTCTCTTCCCTTGACCCTTTGTTTCTTTCTGTTAACCACATGCCTGCACAACTCAGTTCTGAGAACTTACCATGTTTCTTTAGAGAGCCATCCAAAAATTGTTTGTCCCTACCCTGGAACTTTCTGTGGCACTGAGAAACCATGTATGACCACAATAAAAAAAGCATTTTGTGAAATGATACGAGTGATTTCATTTTATTTCTTTAGGCTTCCTTTATGGAAATTCAAAAAGTGAGGCTTGAGATGGCTTTTTTCTTTTAAACATTTTTTAGTGTTTTTTGTTGTTGTTGTTTTTTAATGTGGTGCTGAGGGTGGAACCCAGTGCCTCACACATGCTAGGCGAGCGCTCTACCACTGAGCCACAGCCCCAGCCCTTGAGATGACTTTATACCAAACAACGCAGGCATTGCCTCTACCCAAGGACATTTAAAGTACACCAAAGCAAGAATTCTCCTGCTATCAATTTGCCTCTCAGGAAAGCAGAAGAAAGTGATGGCATCGGTGATGCCAGGAAATTAAGGCACTCTCAGATCATCATAGCAAAAACACCACAGTTCAATCTCTCCTTTAGTCTTTTGAGGCTCAGTTTCCTCATTTATAGTATGGGAGTAATACTGGTACCTTCCTCCTAGGATTGTTAAGGGTTAAATGAGATAATACCTGTGAAGTACTTAGAACATTGTCTGCACTGATAAAGGTAAATAAAATGGATTCCTTTCTCTAAGTTGGGGAATACAGGATTACTCTGCAAAGTAACTGGCATGAGACAGGGAGAGAGTGTGAGGGAGTGTGAATGCTTCCAGTGCAGGGAAAGAAACGGAAAAGCTGAAAGATGGGTCCCTCTCCATTTTCTCCACTCCTCAACTCATAGCGTTGTTTCCTTACATTCACTCATGGGAAGCCATCAGGATTCTGTTCACATTACACCTAAGATCAAAGGGTTTTTTAGATAATTTTTTAAAAAGTCTTCAGTTTTTGTAAGTTTTCAAGACACTTCGCACTTGGGGAGGCAGTATGTTAAATGCAGCATTCTACAAGTTATATAGTCTTCAAAAAAAAGTGGAGAATTCCTTCCTTCAAGTAGAAGTACCTGTACTTCCTTTCCTCTTGACAAAATAACTCTGGAATTTAAAAAAAAAAAAACAGACTTCTTATATCGTTCTCTTCATTATTTGCTTGCTTCCATTGTGGCTATTCATCTAACAATATCTAGAAATCTTAGAAATGAACACTACCCACAAGGAGTTTTTTTAACAGCACTTCAAAAAAAAATGGCATTTCTTTGGTAACAATGACTCATTTTTATATCATTTACAGAACTGAATCCCTTATTTCTGGTCCTTAATTTTCCCTTTTAAAAACATCATTTTGATTAAGGTCTTTTATGCTTTTTTTTTTTTAACAGTCATTGCACATTTTATGCTTTTAATAACCCCCTCCCCTCAAAGATTGAAACACCCTAGTCAAAACCCATTTACAAAAGCCAAAGAATTTATTCTTTTTTAGAGAGAGAATTTTAATATTTATCTTTAAGTTTTCGGCGGACACAACATCTTTGTTTGTATGTGGTGCTGAGGGTTGAACCCGGGCCGCACGCATGCCAGGCGAGCGCGCTACCGCTTGAGCCACATCCCCAGCCCCAATGATATTTGTTTTTAAACAACTGTTTGGTTAACAGTTTTTGCTCAGTAAATTTGCAGGCAGCAAATCACAAGTTTTTACCTCTGGTAGTCTTCTTTTTCCCATAAGTGGAGTTACCTATAAAATATTCAATTGAATGATTACTGGCACTGATACCTTAAGAATGGACATAATTAGGGAGGTATCCCCATCATAAGTCCTCCCAGTATCTCATCTTCACCAAAGACGAGATAAAAATTGGCTTGAGCGTTATTTTTGTAGTTTGTGTATATGGTAGTGTCAAGTTCATTGAAGAGACAGTGCTATAAAAATGTGTAAAGAAACCCAAGAGTGCTTATTCCAACTTCTTAAGCTTTTGGAAAACAGTCCCCCGCAGATCTAAAATCAGGTGCTATGAGGTTCACCTGGTAAAAGAGAACTCAGCTTTAAGAACAGGTCAGGGGAAGAGTATGGCATGTGGAAAGAGGGGTGGCTGGCATGAGACAGGGACAGAGTGTGAGGGATCGTAAGGGCAGTGTGATAGGAAGAAACAGTACAATAGTTCAGGTTAATGAGAGAGAGAGAGAGAGAGAGAGAGGGCGCCAGCCAGAGATTTATGTAACATCTCAAGGAGCAGACAGGCAGAGAAGGTTCTGCAGCCCACATGCATCTGCTCTTAAATCTGAAAATTACTTTGGAGGGTTACTTTTTATGGGTCCCTCGGCCTGATGTTTCACAAAGCTGTAGCTCTTATGTGATGCAGTGACAAGAAGCCCTGTACCTTGCCTTTAGAAGGGACTCGGGTATTTGTTGACTTAAAGAGCTACTGTGAAGGGAGGAAGATAGGGCAAGTCATTGATTCTTTCTTTCTCATAAGCCAGAATCTACTTGAACTTTACTTTTTTTTTTTTCCCTCCAAGTGCTGGAGATGAATAAAACCGGGGGCTTTGTGCATGCTAGGCAAGCATTCTACCACTGAGCCACACCCCCAACCCCTATTTAAACTACTAATCCAAACCATTCCAATCTGCCTGGCTAAGAAGCCCTCAAAAAATCATGCAGGCTGATTTCTTCACCATGTCCTAATATTGGTACATTTTGCTTCCTCTTACTCATGTAGCCAGGATTTTTAATTCTTTTTTCCATCACTTTTTAAACCGGATGGGAAATAGAGACAGTAGGAAGGAGAAGATGGTTTGAGAAACGTGTTTTCTTGTGTGTGTGTGTGGGGGGGGGGTGCACGCACACAGGCGCGTGCACAAAATCTGAATAGTTGACTAGAGTCAGAAAGCCTGGATTCAAATCCATTTAGCCAGTAACGTGTAAATTTGGGCAAGGCAGATTTGCCATGCCATCTCCTCATTTCCCAAGTGAGGATATTAATACTTTTCTATATGCCTCACAAGGTGGCACTAAAGATTTAATGAAATGATGAGTATTTTTAAAGGATCAAGTTCTGTATCCAGCTAAAATAAAGGAACGAGTTAGGATGGTTATTACTGAGAGGAGTATCACTGGGTTAGGAGGAAAGGCGGGTCTGTGAACAGAAATGGCATCCCCCTTAAATTTGACAGATACCAGAAAAATAAAAAACATCCTCAGCCCCTCAATCCACAAATTTAGCCAACGTTTTATCTTGAGACATCTCCGGAAAAAGAATTTTTTGCTTTTTTTCCTACTCTTCCGTGCCAGGGATATTTAATTCATTTTGTGGTTATTGTGTGCCTCCCATATGCCAGGCAATGTGTTTATTAGCTTACTGTCATCTCGTGATTAGCCCAGAGAACCATACTCCTATTTTCGAAGGACTTTCCCAGGTCATCTCGTATACTCCTCTTTCCTTGACGATGGAAGTGGCAGTCCATCCCTCACCATTGAATATGTTGAGGACCAGAGGCTTAAAGAAATGCAGTGACTTGATAAGGGCCACTGAGTTGTGATGAAGCCAGTGGTCACCGTGGCTTTCCGACCACCCCCCTCCCGTCTACACGAACTGAAAGAAGTTGCTAAGGTGTGTCCTGCAGGCTCTGAGGCAGACCCGGGCAAGAGGGGTCAGCAGAGGTTCCCCTCGTCAGAGCATCCTCTGGGCCCTGGGCCCTTCCCTGGCCTGGACTCCAGGGTAGACAGGATCTGGGGTTACAGAGCTGGCCTGGACTCCAGTGTAGACAGGATCTGGGGTTACAGAGCGGGCAGGGGGACAGACCCCCAGGAAGGCTGCGCCCCACCTAGAGCTCACATTCCAAGTCCCCTGGTATAACGGATCATGGCTTTGGGGACAGGGCTCTCTGGCCAGCACTTGGGCGGCTGCGTCTGGATATCCTCGTCTTCCCGAGTCTCAGCGTCTCCCTGTGAAGTGGAGCTCAGAAGACCCACCTCCAGTTTGGGGCTACTCTGCGGCCCCAGAGGCCCGAGGCTTTGTCACTGGGGAGTCGCGCAGCTCCGCGGCCCCCTCGTGCCCCCGCCGGCTCGGCCCCTGGGAGGCATGAAACTTTTCCCCGACACCTGACCTGCCCGGTCACTCTGGGCCCGGGGAGGGGCTCCCCGTTTTTGTCTTGGGCTCGGGAGGGCGGTGGAGTCGGTCTCGGGGATCTCGTCTCCCAGCCCGTGCGTCTCCGGGGTCCCCCCGGCCCGCGCGACGGAGCCCCGGCGGCCGGGCGGCTGTCCTGGAGGCGCCCCCCTCGCCGGGGCGTCGAGGCGGGGTCCCGGCGGGGTCCCGGCCGGCTCCCTCGCCCTCGGGAGCCAGAAACAAAGGCGGGAGCGCACTCGCGGCGGCCCCGCGCTTCCCGGCATCCGGAGCCCGCAACGTCAGCGGCCGCGGATGGAGCCGGGCGGCGCGGGTGGGCGGCGGGGGCGCCGGGCTGCGGGGCGCCGGGGGGCGGGCGCGGGCGTGCGCGAGTGCGAGTGCGAGGGAGGCCGGCCTTCCGTGTAACCGGAGCGACAAAGGCAGAGTCCGGGGGCGGGCGCGGGCGCGGGGGCGGAGCGGCGGCGCCGGGACCTCGCCGCCAGCCTCCCGCTGGGCAGGCGCCCCTGCGAGCCGCCCCGGCCCCCTCGGGATGATGAAGAAGAACAATTCCTCCAAGAGGGTGAGTGCGCGCCGACCCGGCGTCGGGGCTGCGGGCTGGGCCGGGAGGGGCGGCCTGCGCGAGCCCCCCGCCCGCCTGGCCGCGCCCGCGCCCGTCCCCGCGCCCGTCCCCGCGGCCGGCCCGGGGCTTTGTCTGTTGACTTGCGTCGGGGGCTGAACTTGGCTGAGTTTCCTCCTCCCCGGCCCTGGCCGCCGCTGGCTCTGCTCCGCGGGGCCGGGAAGACAATGAGAAATAAAAGGAGACGCCGCTAGTCCGGGCGCTGCCGGGAGGCCCGAGGGCGCGAGGCCGGCGGTCGGGGCCCGCGGAGGCCGCCCCCCTCCTCCCGCAGTTTCGGGGTCTTGGGGAGGGGGAGTCGCTCGGAGCCAAGACCTGGCCCAGGGGGCAGCGGACCTTGGCTTCCAGGCTTAGAGACGAGCGAGCCGGGGTCCCCTCGGGGTCTGGTCCTGATCTTGTCCCTCGGACAGGGGCCTCAGGATGGGAATCATCAGTCGGCACCGCCGGAGAAGGTCGGCTGGGTCCGGAAATTCTGCGGGAAAGGGATTTTCAGGGAGATTTGGAAGAACCGCTACGTGGTGCTGAAAGGGGACCAGCTCTTCATCTCTGAGAAGGAGGTGGGTGCCCTTTACCTCTAACTTCGCCCTGCTCCCGCGGCTTCCCCCTGCCCACGGGGTCTCCAAGCAAAACAGTGGTGGCATTAGTCTGTACCGCGTCCTGTGCTGCTGAGAAAGGTCACCCTTTAGCGAGAAGACCTGAGTGGGAACTAGAAGTTGAGTTGCTTCGTATAAGTGTTTTTCTCTTTGCAAATACCTCTCTGACAGCAGCGATTGTCCCCTCCTAGCAGGTCCCCTAAGTTCTAAGCGTCCCCTGCTGTGCCTCCCACCTGTCCTGGCCTCCTAAAATGTGGACCATTGTCCCCCTTTGCTATTGTTGCTGGAACACCATGTTCAGCTTCCCCCCGTCCGGCCCGCCACCCTGACCCGGCTTCCTTTCCTGTCTGCAGTAGGGTTATCAGTAGCACAGCCATCCTGAACCATAGAAAAGACACAACCCAGGGCTGCTATCTTTTGACTCCAGTAGTGGATCTGTGAGTGCCAGATAGTTACGTTTGTAGAAGTCACTGTTCCTAACCGGTATGCTTTGTGTAGCTCACCACTCCAGTTAAAAAAAGAGGGGGCATTTAACTCATGTTCTGCCCCCTTCCTGCCTACCCCTATTTGTATGAGAGGGGATAAAAATGGAGGCATGAATCCCTGTATGTCTCTGCGTGGTTTTAGCTGTGTAGTTAAACATGAAAACATAGGCCACATTTGGTCAGAACCTGCATCCAGATCATTAAATCCAAGCTCTTCTCCCTTTTGTCCCCAATGCTTGGGATGGATACCGTGGTATCATCCTGGAAAACTGGAATTGCTATTCTGTGACTATGTCCTGTACTCCCCTTAGGATTCCTCACCCCAGGCTAGCCGGGAAGCCCTCTGTGAGTCTAACCTCTTCTGCTTTTGGCAGTAGGCACTCTTATTCAGGAGATTATATGTAGGTAAATAAATCCTTTTATGGTATTGAAACAGACACATGTTCAGCCCGGAGAAAGTACTCATCTGGAAACAGTATCTACTGAGGCAGCTAGGGAAGGGCAAAGCCATGCCAGGGCCGAAGAGATCCCTCTGCGGGGTGTCTGAACCTAGCTACTCACTCTTAACCTGGGAACTTGCTGGGGGAGAGTCTTAGGGGGGAGGTAAGGGAAGACTTTGACAGGAGGATTTATTTTTAAGGGTCACCTCTGCCAATCACAAATCCTACAGAAAGTTTTTTCCACAGTTTCCTGGCTTTCCAGTTTAAAAAGAGGGAGAAAGAGTCAAAGTGTCTCTCCTGTCTTTCCCGAACTTGATAATAGCAGGAAACTCTAGTGAGCAATCGAGAGAACTTCCTACACGTCAAAGGGGGAACTAGAGAACAGTGAAAGGGTAGGAGAAACAAGTCATTTTTTTTCTTGTTTATTTATCCAAACAGCAGAGTTTGGGTTGAAGGAACATGGTTGAGCCTTGTGTGTGGAGAATGGGATCCAGAGCCAGGGAAAGGATGGAATGATCTCAGCATGGTGTCCTATGAGTCAGGAGCATCTGATTAGTCCTGAGGCCAACTGACCCCCTGTGGGGAAGGGTATAGCAAAAGAGGGAACAGCATATTGATGTTACTTTTCTTGAGAGCCTGTTTGCATGCTACTGTGGGCCTGAGTTAAACGTGAAATTGACCGAGGAATCTAAGTTTTATTCTGTTCACTTCCCAAAAGCTCCAGAACCAACAGATTCAAGATTTTAAACAACAACAAAAAGCACAGTGTATTTGTAATTTATGTTTTAATACAAAAAAAAAAAATTCCTAACCCTCTTTCCCAGAGTTTACAGCAATCATTTTTTGTTCTTTCCTCCTAAAAAGGCAGGGTCTCCAACAATTACTTCCACCATAGAATTCCTTCTGTGTTTGTTGTGGATCATTTTCCTCATTTTCAAAGGGTGCCCTTTCTCAGGGCTGGGGCATCTTCTGAGCTGGATCTTAGGGAAACCTCGTGGTAGAGGAAGTTAGGTTCTAGACAATTCTTAGCAAACGTGAAAAAATCCCTTCTTATGGGCAATGGGTGAAGAATCAGAGGAAAGGAAATGTTAATTTGGAAGATGAGTAAATATAAATGAGATCTTGAGAATTAGCAGGGGAGGAAAAAACAGAATACAGTGGAGAACAAGGCTCCCAGGAGTGTCCATCTTTTCTGGACATTAGAATATACTTGTTCTACTGCTTGTCTAACCTCGGCTCCTACCCCTGCCCTACAGTGGCAACCTCTGTCAATGTCTCCTGTTCCCCAGCTCCTTATCAGCTTGTGTCCCAGCCAGCACTCCTTGCCCTTCCCTCTCCCTGAGGAAAACAGAACAAGTTACTCTCTTCCCCTGGCTGCATACACACACCTAGCGCTTTCCTCTCCAAGGTTTCTGGCTTCTGCTGATTTCTGGCTCTGGGGAGGAGGGAGGGGAGGATGATGCGTCATCCTGCATCCTGGCCCCGTGTTTCTGGGAATTGTTCTTGGATGCCCCTGGCAACACCTTGTCTCACCTCCACCCATAATCCTTCAAGGCTTCTGGTCACTTCCAGCCCAAAGCCAGGGATGGCTGGGAAGGGGTAGCCCTGGAGGAGCCAAGCCTTGCCAAAACGAAGGGAGCTGTGTGACCATCTGTCCTCACCATCATCACCCCCTGGTCCAGGACAATTTAGAGGATGGACAGACCCACTCCACCACCATGTAGTCCCACGACATCATGCCAGAATTTGGAAGCGGGGCTCCTTTGTGAAACAGTTCCAGGCAGGGAGGTATATGTCTTCCAGGGAAGAACTGAGGCTACTTTTGTTTTTTTTAACATGTTTGCTTAATTTTAACAGAACGAGTACTGGTGGTCTGTACTTTTCATCCCAGGAAACATGGCCAACTCATTCCTGAGGTGTTCCTAACTGAGCAGAAGAGGGTGGACAGGCTGCCCAGTCTGGATGAGCCTCTTCGTAGTAGGATATGTTAGAGGAGAGCAGGTTGGGGACAGGAAAGCCACCGTGTAAACCTAAGAGGCCAGAGGCAGCCCTTCATTCCCTGCAGACATCCTGATACTAGGGCCGCCTTGAGAATTCGCTGGGGGTGGAAAAACAGCTCCCTCCTCTGGACCGCTGAGGGCCACCAGGTCTTCCTTACTTGGGAATGATCAGATCAGCCCACTCATCATGTCCCTTTAAGGGCTTGAGCCTTTTCTGCGTCCTTCAGTGGATTCGTGGTGAAGAGAGGCTCTGGAAGCGGTAGCTCAGCTGAGGAGAGTAGGGTTGATGGTTCAAAGAGAAATCTGCCTGAGGACGTAGGACTCGGAGGCTGCCCGTCTGGAGCCCCGTGATGTAGAGCCTCTGTGTGGCATGGGTCGGGTGGCCCTGTCCTGCTGTCCTTCCCTCTCCTCAGGCACCGTCAGGTCCCCAAGGCCTACCTACACTGATATTTGGGGGGAGGGGCTAAGTATTTTTATCCTCCTCACCCCCCCCCTTGGGTTTCTCCCCCAGGTAAAAGATGAGAAAAATATTCAAGAGGTGTTTGACCTGAGTGACTATGAGAAGTGTGAAGAGCTCCGGAAATCCAAGAGCAGGAGCAAGAAAAATCATAGCAAGTTTACCCTTGCGCACTCCAGACAACCCGGCAACACAGTAGGTACCTCCGCATCCTGGACACCAGGGCACTGGAGGGGCTGGGAGAGGCAGAAGGAAGACCTCCCCCTTCGGATTCTCCTCCTCAGCAGTCTTGGCTCCGAGGTCCTGAGCTGCTCTCCTGCTGGCTTTTATTATTTAACCAGAGAATATTGTGGCCATTTCCTCCTCTCCGGGCCTTTAACCTGTTCAGCCACAAAATCCCTTTACCTGCATCCGCAGCAGCCCCCCATTCCTCTCCCCGACTCTAACCCTCGCACACACCTACATACACACATCCCCTGGGAGGAAATCACTGGTCTCTGTGCCCTGGAAGGCGATTAGGGTTCTGACTCTAATTCCCCTGATCTGAGGAAACCAGGGAAGCCATTTCTGTCACCATCTACTTCCTCAGACATAGAAAGATCTCAAGTTTCTGACCTTTGTCAAACCTCCTCTAATTCTCTCCAGAGCCACCCACCCTGCTTAACTCCTCCTCAGTCGTTTCTAAAACAGAGTCCAAGCCGCGGTGTGTCTGGCAGGAGCAGAAGCTGGGTTTCCTTGAGTTAGGGATGACCCGGGAAGCAGGAGCTGGATCCCAGAGAATGAGATCATGATTTCCTGTCCCTTCACTGTCGAGGTGAGGCGCCAAGTCTAACGCCCAGGCTGAAACGAGACTCTCCCCTCACAGGCACCCAACCTGATCTTCCTGGCCGTGAGTCCAGAGGAAAAGGAGTCCTGGATCAACGTCCTCAACTCTGCCATCACCAGAGCCAAGAACCGCGTCTTGGATGAGGTCAGGGGCTCACTGTGGGGAGAAGGATGCTGGGACAGAGAAAGGGAGGATTATTATTCGGGGCCCCACTCACCTGCTCCTCCACCAACCCTTCTTTTTCCTCTCCCTTTTGAAATCCTTGTTCTCCTGTACCTTCCAAGTCTGTTCTGCCAACTCCTCTTCCCCAAAACGATGCATGAGCCCATCTTGGGGAACCCCCTCACACCCAGTAAATCTCTTTGCCTGTGATTGCTCAAAAGTGGTTTATGGGGTGCGCGTATTTCCCAGTCCTGGGTGGGACAAACAGTCTGAGAATCCCGATGACAGTACGTCTCTTCAGGTCACTGTTGAAGAGGATAGCTATCTCGCCCACCCCACTCGAGACAGAGCGAAAATCCAGCACTCCCGCCGCCCCCCAACTCGGGGACACCTCATGGCTGTGGTACGTAAGCCTAAGGAAGTAAACATTGTCCAAGGGCTAATTCGGGGTCAGTCTGTCCCAGACAGAACTGTATACCACCACCGGCATTTAAGGAAGACCTTGATAACAAGATCAATACCCCTCATTCTTCCTGATTCCTCTGAATCAGAAATATTTATTCAGCAATAACATCCTGAAAGACAGACGCAAGCTGCTGCCATTTCCTTCTCCCGGTGCCTTCTCTGAGGAGACCTCTCCGCCCTAGGCGAGCCCTTCTACTTAACTTGCTATTTCTTAATTTCTTTGATGGTGATTCGAACTTTTTATCTTTCTGTGACTTAATTTCTCCTGCTTGTTTCCCAGATTCTCCCCTTACACCTACCAAGAGCTAAGACGTCTCTGCTCTCAGTAATTTTATTGTCTTTGGGGGGAAATGAGATATACCACCCTGGAAAATTAAAAATAGAGGAGCTGAATACCATACAAGATGACGTAAACTTGTGTGCGGTGGGTAGCTGTCTTGATGAATGACCGTGTTAAGATCTGCATGGGGGCTGGGGATATAGCTCAGTTGGTAGAGTGCTTGCCTTACAAGCACAAGGCATTGGGTTCAATCCCTGGCATGCCCCCCCCCAAAATAAAAAAGAACTGCATGCATTCAGAGGAGGAAGGATCACAGCAAACCCCTGTACCATACAGTCAATGGTTTCTTTCATTGATCTGAGCTCTAAGTTTCTAGGAAGTAGTAGCAGGAATGCAGACTTTGGAGTCGGGCAGAACATAACTTTGCAGTTAACTAGGTGGTTCCTTGGAGCTGCATATCTGTAAAATGGGGCAGTTGAATATCCTTACCGCTTTTTAAAAATCACTGTGTTCTGGAACGAAGAACAAGGTTTGGCTGGGCCTGTGGTACACACCTATAATCCCAGTGACTTGGGGGCTGAGGTAGGAGAGTTGCAAAGTCACCACCTGCCTTGGGAATGTATCCAGACCCGTTGGTTGGCTGGAAGGTAGCCTGGCGGCTGAGGTGTGCCTCAGAGGACGCAGGTAGAAAAGGACTGTGCCAAGTGGAGCGTCCCGTGTGTGCCAAGCCCAGTACTGTGCTTGGAGCCTCCAGTACAGAGGAAGTAGACACCCCTCGGGAAGCTTGTAGCTAAGGGGAGAATCTGGGTAACCAGCAGCAGGAGAAATTAAGTCGCAGAAAGATAAAAAGTTCGAATCACCATCAAAGGAATTAAGAAAAGGCAAGTTAAGTAGAAGGGCTCGCCTAGGGCCGAGAGGTCTCCCAGAGAAGGCAGGTGAGACGGGGATGGCAGCAGCTTGCGTCTGTCTTTCAGACGTCACTCCTGAAATCCCTACTGATGACCGTTTACCGCCCTGATTCCCACACCTTCTCCCCAGGCTTCCACCTCTACCTCAGATGGGATGCTGACCTTGGACCTGATCCAAGAGGAAGACCCCTCCCCTGAGGAGCCAGCCTCTTGTGCTGAGAGCTTCCGGGTGGACCTGGACAAGTCTGTGGCCCAGCTGGCAGGGAGTCGGCGGAGAGCAGACTCTGACCGGATCCAATCTTCCTCAGACCGGGCAACCAGCCTCCCTCGACCTTGGGAAAAGCCAGACAAGGGGGCCACCTACACCCCCCAGGCACCCAAGAAGTTGACCCCCACAGAGAAAGGCCGCTGTGCCTCCTTGGAGGAAATCCTGTCTCAGCGGGACGCTGCCCCAGCCCGTACCCTCCAGCTGCGGGCTGAGGAATCTCCAGCCCCCAGCCCACCCCACCCGGGCCAGCTGTCCCGGATCCAGGACCTGGTAGCAAGGAAACTCGAGAAGACACAGGAGCTGCTGGCAGAAGTTCAGGGACTGGGAGATGGCAAACGCAAGGCCAAGGACCCCCCACAGTCTCCACCCGACTCGGAGTCTGAGCAGCTGCTGCAGGAGACCGAGCGGCTGCTAGGAGAGGCGTCCTCGAACTGGAGCCAGGCAAAGAGAGTGCTGCAGGAAGTCAGCGAGTTGAGGGACCTGTACAGACAGATGGACCTGCAGACCCCCGACTCCCACCCCAGACAGACCACCCAGCACAGTCAATATCGGAAGAGCCTGATGTGAAGGACAGGAACAAGGTCTGGAACTTGGTGGGGGGCTTATAGATTCTTATCTCCAGGTGTTGCAGGATAAAGTTTTTTATTTACCTCAGTCAAAAAAAAAAAAAAAAAACACCATTGAACTCACTGCTCTTGCTGGTGCCTGACCCCCTAAGCCTTTGTCCCCCTACCCACTTTCCTTACTCAACTCCCCCTCCTACTTGGCCCCTATAACAGTAGTAAGGAGCTTCACCTGCACCGAGAAGGACACAGTCTGCTCCTTTTACACAGCCCTCCCACCCCCCAGCAGTGGGGAGTTGTCCAGCACATGCACAGCCTTCTGAGTTCAGAGGGAGCTGCGGCAGAGGGGTTTCTCGTATGTCCCATTCCAGGTTCTATCTGAGGGTGAAATTTCAGCTGCCCAACTTCAGTTCCAGGAATGTGGAGGACAGTGCCACCTGTCCACGCCACAGGAGAAGTGAAATTTACCCCAGCCCTGAGGAGGATATGTGGAATTCAAATCTCCCTGCCCAACACTGGCTCCTCACCCGTAGTCGTTAGTCTCTGGTTGAGATTGAACTACGTGGGGCTGGGGCTGTAGCTCAGTGGTGGAACACCTGCCCCTCGTGCATGAGGACCCGAGTTCAACCCCAGTATCATGAAGCGAGACTGAGCTGCTAGGAGGTGCTTTCTCCATCTCCCAAGCCCTTCCAAGCGTGGAGTCAAAGATACACCTTTGGATGGTGGGACTGGTTTGGTCATTTGACTAGGGGGTGACTAGCATAGGGGAAATGGGGACAGCTGACCCCATGGAAGAACTGAACTAAGAATGAAACTGATTTGCAATGCAGGCTGGGTAGGAAAAGGGGGAAAACCAAACCTGGGCCTGGGTTCCTCTTTCTGCCAAGTGAGGGTTTCCTGTTGCCACTCCCTGTCCTTCCTCAGGCTGCTCCCACCAGTAAGCAGATCCGGATCAGCTTTAAAAGTCGTGTCTGCCTCACAGGCTTCTCTGTGGTCCATCCCACACAACTCGTTTTGTTTGCTGCTTTTCACTGAGATTTTTTGTTTGCTTTTACAGTACTAGGGGCTGAGCCAGGAGTGCTCTACTACTCAGGTACACCCCCAGCCCCTGAGTCAGAGGTTACAGGCATGTACAACCGCATCCAGCTCTATAGAGTTTCTAAGATCTGTGAGTAACAGTGCCAAGGTCTAGAAGAAAGTTGTGAAGGCAAGATATGAGTGATTTTTGGAAAGAAGGGGTCAGAGAGCATCTGGATCGAGTGAATAAGGGGTTAAAAACACTTATGTCCCTTGTGAGCTTCTCTTGATCCTCTTCCCTAGGTCTCTTCTCACAACCAAGAGCCAAGTCCTAGAGCTTCCCTCGGGGAGAAGGGAGAGGAAATAGGGACAACCCGCATATAGATACCAGCCATGAGCCTGTTGGATGTTAGGAAAATTGGGTAGGAAGGAGGGAGGAAAATCCTTCTGGAGAAAGAGAAGGACTCAATTCCTTTTGTGTGTGTGTGTGTGTGTGTGTGTTGCTGGGATTGAACCCAGTACCCGGTGCATACGAGGCCAGCACTCTGCCACCTGAGCTAGATCCCCAGCCCCCCTTCTTCTATTCTTGACATTGCTCCTACAGCCACATTAGATAAGGGAATCTCTCCAAGTTAAACTGTCTCTAGGGAGGAGGGATTCCTGCTCTCCTTTTAGACCCCCACCACTCACTGTCATGAAAGTTCTCTGTCCATGCGGCCTAGAGTTGTCTAGTCTCTTCAGGGAGGAAAAAGTATTCTGTTGGATTCAGGGAAAGTGCACTTACTGTCATCACCAGCATCTTCTGGGGGATGAGATGAGGGAACCTAGTTCTTCAGGTTTCCTGTCCTCCAAATAGACTTCACTCTCCAAAATTCTAAACCTGGTCATCAGCGTCACCCATTGCCACATGAAAGTCTGAGTTAAATTTTTATTTTCTCTTTATGAGTCTCCATTTTTGTATTAATTTTATTTTACCAGCATTTTTCCTTTCTCTCCTCCTTGTCACTCCCACATAATGAGAAAAAAGACAAAAGCAAGAATAACATAGTGTGTCCCAACATGCCAATCATCTGTGGTTCCCAGGGGAACCAGGAAATGAAGGGAGACCTGCAGAGGGAATGGCAGGTGAGCAAAAGCACAGGACGAAGGTCAGAGAAGACCTGGGCACTGGGTCCTGGGGTTTTCAGTCCCCAGCATCGGCAGCTTCCAGTTCTCCAGCAACTGCCAAAATATCCACATCACAAAATTGGGGACATGAAACCAGACCGATCTGGATTCACGTTCTCTGTCCCTCTTTAGTTATGAGGTCCGGGGCAAGACACAAGCTTTCCGAGTATCAGTTTTCTCATCTGCAAACTGCAGAACTGTTAATTGGGTGAGGACAATGGAGGGAAATGCATGTCGGTCAATAAGTGGCTGCTATGCCTGCTATCATCCGTGGGGCCCAGTGGGCAATGGACAGGAAGTCCCGGTGGCTAGACCCAGGTTGAGAGTCAGTGCACTAACTCAGTATCACTTTGTTTTAGTCCACACACTTGATCAGGCCACACGCTGTGCCCGCTGTGCCCGTACCTCTTCAAAGGAAAGAGTGTGCCCGCTGCAAAGGGGGGGAAAACACTATTCCCAGGCTTCAAGGACTTCAGAACTTAGCAGAAAGCCAGGCTTCCCACTAGAAGAACACAGAGTGCCTTTGTGGTGGGCTACTAGCAAGATTTCTGGTCTGGGGTTTGGCTCAGTTGGTTCATTGGCCTACCCTGTGGAAGACCCTGGGTTCAACCCCCACACCAGCAAATGAAGACAATTTTGTTAATGTTGACCGTGTGTGTGAGCTCAGGCACCGTGACAGGCTCATGGAGCATTCCTCTGATTTCCCCTCCTCCTAGCACCTCTCTTCCCTCCCTCCTTTACTCCAAACCATTTTCCTGCAACAACATTTCTCTTATTTCCTCCAAATAACTGTGTTATGCAGTAAATGGGTGGATTGAGTCAAGAAAGGCTCCGTGGCTACCTGGGGCAGTTTCCCTATTACACAGCTGCTAAAGGGCATTTCCCAGGATGTGTGTACCTTCCTCCCTTCCTCTCCCCCAACAACTTTGCTGTAGGCTTTTTCTTAGCCAAATGAACTGGAAAGGGGAACACCTTTGGGTGGCCCCAGGATGGGGAGACGGGAAAATCCAGGGAGCAGAGACGCAGTGATAGATAAAGACGGGTCAAGAGCCAGATGCTTCATTCCTAATTCCGTGGCATCTTCCTCTGCTGCTCCCGGCCTCTGCCTTAAACTGTGGAGAGGTTGGGGGAGTGGATACAAGCACAGTCCTGATCTTCCTCCATTAGGAAGAGTGTCTGCGAGTCGGCCTGGCAAGCTGATGAGGTCATCTGCATGCAGTTTCCACAACCTAGCTGTAGGTCGTCTAGGATGAGAAGAAAAGGAGAAAGAAAGGAAAAAGGCACATGTTTCTCCAGCCCCTGCTCCAACCCTCACAAACGCCATGCTAGGCTTCAACTCCAACCCCAGGGAAATAGCTCTTGCCTCCCTCCTCACCCACTATCCCAACCCCGGAGCCAACAGCAAATTTACCTCCTTCTCCCCAGAAACCAGCCCCAAAGAACCTCTCCCCTGTCTGCACCTCACAGGCAAGCAGACCAGCCCACTCTACAGCCCTCAAACTGGGCTCGGCACCCTCCCCCAACACACACACACACACACACACACACACACACACACACACACGCAGCCGTCTCACTCCCGCCCTAAGCTTGGTTCTTTCTTTTTCTGCTATCCTTCTACCTCCCGGTCTCCCAACAGCAGCCAATCCCCAGCCTGCTCTAGAGCCACACCATATATGGAGAGGTTGGAAGGAAACCCGAGTAAAAGCAGGAGCGAACACACACACAGAGTTTAAGTGCATTTCTGCACATGATCTTTGTCTGTGTGTATCACATGAGTTCCACTGTCCCCGGTTCATCCCACCCACAGAATGAGGAACCTGTTTGCTATTCCCCACTTTTATTCATGCCCCAGGAGAACATCACTCCAATGGCTGCCTCTGACCTAGATTCCCTGCACTAATTACAAGCCTAACGAGATCTAACAAACACCCAACTTAGCACAGCTGAGACCCTCGAGGTCAATTAGTGCAGCCCAGCTCCACTCAGGAAATGAGAGATGGAGCCTGAAAGTCGCCTACGTGCCTTACCCAACCCCACTGCAACCCTGGGGTTTGGAAGCAAGAATGGGGAGAACGCAAAAATTAGCAGGACCAGTTTAAAAATAGGATCTTGGAGAGTTAACAAGTGTGGGGAGAAGTGTGTTAAGGTTGGGGAGCCGTTGGACGGTTACAGACTCCCACCGCCTCCTAACTGACCATAAGCATAGAGGCTGATACCTTGATAACAAGGATGGACACAGGCAATTTTCCTAAGGACTTAATATGAGGAACTGAAATTCATAGAAAAGCAAGCACAGGAACTCTGGTTCTGAGTCATGACCTTCAGCTCTGAACTCTTCCTCTTAGCTTCCAGCTAGTTTGGGATAGTCTAGAAATCACCCCTTTCTTTCAGAATACTAGACTCAACTTCATTTTCCCTTTTCCTTCCTACAACTATTAAAACCATGACAGCAAACGTCCTCTTCCTCCTAAGATTCCGTGCGTAAGTGCATTCGAACTAGAACCCAGGACCTCAAGCAAGCATTCTACCACTGAACTACATCTGCAGCCCTTCCTATTGTATTTCGTTTTGAGTTAAGGTCTTGCTAAATTGCCCAGGCTGGCCTTGAACTTGCAGTCCTCCTGCCTTAGCCTCCAAGTCCCTGGGATAACAAGTGTGTGGTCTGGCTTTCAGGGTTCCTTTCCTTAGGCACAAAGCAAGACAATGGGATAGCTTCTCTAGCCCAGAGTCCTAACCTCCATCCCTAAAGAGAACTCCTACAGAGGTGTAAGGGGGAGGGAGGGGGAGGGCTAGTGGACTGCTTTATATGCCAGAGGAGAAGTGAACTTACAGCCACCTCAAAAACAGAATGCTCCTGCCAGGGGCAGGCTGTCATCCCAGCAGCTCAGGAGGCGGAGACAGAAGGATCCTGAGTTCAAAGCCAGCCTCAGCAATGGTGAGGCACTAAGCAACTCAGTGAGACCTGCCTCTAAATAAAATACAAAATAGGGCTGGGGGTGTGGCTCAGTGGTTGAGTGCCCCTGAGTTCAATCCTTGGCACACACACACACACACACACACACACAAAAACAATGCTCCTCTCCACCCCCCCCCCAGGCTCCACCAGCCCTAGCTACAGAGGGCAGAGGGCAGCACTCTGCTAGTACTATGCCGCCTTGTTCACAACTCAGACTTATGCAGTAACCAAGAACCCAGAGAGCAGGACGATTCACATAATGTGCCACATCTATATGGTGGTGACTCCCGAATATATTTCTTAAACCTAAGTCCCAAACCTCTCCCATCAAAGTCCTCATAGCCAAGGGCCTATTTGATACCTCTACCTGTCTAAAAGGAGCCTTAAACATTATAAACGGGATAGATCATTAAATGATCCTCAGCCAGGTGCAGTGGTGCAGCCTGTCATGGCAGCAGCTCAGGAGCCTGAGACAGGAGGATCACAAGTTGGAAACCAGATGCAGAAACTTAGCAAGGCCCAAGCATGTTAGTGAGACCCTGTCTCAATTTTGTTTTGTTTTGTTTTGTTTTGGTACCAGGGATTGAACCCAGGTGCTCTTAACCACTGAGCCACATCCCCAGACCGTACCCCCCCCCTTTTTAAATAATTTATTTAGTGACAGGGTCACACTAAGTTGCTTAGGGCCTTGCTAAGTTGTTGAGGCTGACTCTGAACTCATGATCCTCCTGCCTTAGCCTCTGGAGCTGGTGGGATTACAGGTGTGTGCCGCCATGCCCAGCCCACAAAAAAAAAAAATTAAAAGAACTGGAGATGTGGCTAAGTGATTAATTGCTCCTGGGTTCAATTCCCAGTGCTAAAAACGGAAAAAGAAAAAGTCCTCAATCAACCTCCCACGTACTCTTTTACTATGTGAGTTTATTGTTCTTCCGATTCAAGAGGCATTGCTATTTTTCCAACTGTTCCTCAAATCTTGTGACTTGGCTTTGACCAATAATAGAACATGCCATATGTGTAAGTTCCAGAGCTTAGGCCTTAAGGAAATTTGTAGTTTCCACCCTGGTCCTCTTAAAATTCATCCTCTTAAAATTCAGCTGCAGGTCTAGTATCCTTGATGTGACACCATGTGGTGAAAAAGGCCCCCAAACCGCATGGTTCCATCCCAACACCTAAGCCTGCTGCCCAGCTTCATAACTAGAGGACCAGTGGCCAGGCCGACCCCCTGAATTCTGAGGAAATCACAAAGCACTGTGGACTTCAGACAGTTTGGGGATGCTTTATATATTTATTTATTTATTTATCAGTGGACACAACATCTTTATTTTATTTTATGTGGTGCTGAGGATCGAACCCAGCGCCCCGCACACGCCAGGCGAGTGCGCTACCACTTGAGCCACATCCCCAGCCCGATTTGAGGATGCTTTGTTACTCAGCAATACAAACTAAAACAAAAACTGGCTCTTGGAAGTAGGAAGTTGCCATAGTTAAAACCTGAAACGTGTGATGTTGACTTTGGGACCAGCTACAGAGGCAGCATGGACGTGCTAATACAGGCTGGATGGTCAGGAAGGAATAGCCATTGGGACTAGGGAAAGGCCCTGCCGTGATTTATAGTAATTCATGTCACCTGCGGAAGTGGAACGTTCCTAAGAAGCCCACTAGAGATGGCCAAGGTGCTGTCCAGGCATAATGGTGAAAGTACCAACCAGGTAGGGCTGATGAACTCTTACCAGAAAGATGAAGCAAAAGGAACTTTTCAGTTTGTAAGCAAAACTTGAAGGAAAACGGAGGGCTGGAACAGTCTTCAGCTTTTAAA